CCGGCACAGCTCCAGCGCGGATGAATCTAATGTTTTGAGGAGTATGTGTGTGTGGTACTCAGTCACCGCACCGGTGTGGATATTTACTGTACTTCCCAATCACAGATTGTAGCCTACGTCTTGGAATATATGACTCAAATAAGAATTTTCACCAGATATTGCCATCTGAACAAGTAAGTAACAAGTCTGCCACTTTTGTTCTGACCAACTGTGAAAAAAAACATTACAATAAATCGCTCTACCAATGGTGATTAAATCTGACAATCACTTAGCTCATATCACATCAAACCGTGCAAATTATTATTATTGTTATACTTTTTTCTCAAATTATTAATGTTAACAACATCAGCATTGCGTGACTATATGTATAGTGTGTATTAGCATGTAGATTTCATATAAATAAATAAACATATAAATAAATGAATAAATAAATAAACTATTTAATTAAAATTATTTAATAAAAAATATAATAAATTAAATAATAAAAATAATTAATAGTAAATCTCTGCTTAAAGCTGCAGTCCGTAAGTTTCACATCTCTGTTTGAAAACCTGCAATTGCAGCTTTTTGCGGAATTATTTTCCTTGCGTGGGTTGTGCACCGGCACAGCTCCAGCGCGGATGAATCTAATGTTTTGAGGAGTATGTGTGTGTGGCAGTCAGTCACCGCACCGGTGTGGATATTTACTGTACTTCCCAATCACAGATTGTAGCCTACGTCTTGGAATATATGACTCAAATAAGAATTTTCACCAGATATTGCCATCTGAACAAGTAAGTAACAAGTCTGCCACTTTTGTTCTGACCAACTGTGAAAAAAAACATTACAATAAATCGCTCTACCAATGGTGATTAAATCTGACAATCACTTAGCTCATATCACATCAAACCGTGCAAATTATTATTATTGTTATACTTTTTTCTCAAATTATTAATGTTAACAACATCAGCATTGCGTGACTATATGTATAGTGTGTATTAGCATGTAGATTTCAATTTCTGCACAGTCTAATCTAATCGTCATACCATTCGAATTTCACATGAAGAAATTATTTTAACCCAAAAGGCAAATTATTCTCCCTTCGAACTGGTTTTCTTTCAAATACAAATCTTGTGTAATCCCAGGCTATCTGTAATCAGATGCACATTTAAAACTGGAATATAATTTAATTTAAGTCACATGTGTTTCATAAACACACAATCCTTTCTGGATTAAAATCCGCCATCAAAATGATACATTTAATTATTCTGGCTGCT